AATATGCTTGAGGCAATATGCTTGCTACAAACTTTAGAGGCAAAAGTATTTCAAGGAGCCTAGAACGAATATTTTCAAATAAAAATGTATGACCCGAAAGCATGTTCAAATATCACGTTCAATTTTAACAAATAATTTTTACCTTTAATACATACTTAGTTTTATTAACCTATATATTTGTTTTATTTCCTCGCAAAAATCATTGAAAAATGTTGTAAGAAACTTGAGCGTAAAAGGTTTTCGTAAAACCTTACTTTCCGCACTCGTATCTTAAATAACCATTGTTGCACACGACGCGGGATAAGTACGGAATCAGTGCAGCATGAGAAAAAATTATATTGAAATTATATAACGATATGAAGGTTTATAAAGTCCTGATTAGTAGCGATAGAATTATACTAGACTGTGAGTCAAAACATTCAAGAGAACGACCCTAAACGAATCAAATTAAATATACTTGATTCCAATTAATAACTGATAATGAATATATTTATGAAATATCTTACGTTAATATTGTTGTTAGCCATAGGTGGCGGTTGTGGTGCCGCTGGTGGAGTGGGCGGACCTATGGGACCCTGGAAATATCGTTAACTTTTTAATGACGTACTTGCGTTGCGCCATTTCATTGAAGAGAACTAACTAGCCGTCTAATTGTGCGGTTGCCTTAACCAGTTACCTGCGCTACGACATAATATTACTGGCAATTGGATACTTGACAATTAAAACAATAAATTATTAAATTTTTTGGAGCATCGCGAGACATTAGAATAAACTTGTCTAATAAACGATGTCTCTGTTGCGAGTCCAAGCAGTACTCGTATTATTTGTATATTTCATCAACTTAGCATTAACAATGCTATACTGGCAAATATTTTTAATAAAAAAATGCTTAAAAAATCTACCGGCCCCTTTGAGATGACTATTGAATTCATGGCTCGAAATATTAAAAAAATTAAATTATTACTGAATAATAATGCATTATCAATTAAATATTATTATATGATAGTTTTAAAATAGTTTTCCTAAAACAGTCAAGTATCCAATTGCTCGAGAGGTTAGCATCTCGAGTAACTCTAAAAAAAGTAGTAGTTAATTTGTAAGAAAACAAAGGTAATATTGCAATAAATTACTGAAATATAAAATTATGAACGATTATAAAGCCTTGATAGTCTAATAATGACACTATAATGGAAATGTGACGACAAAAACCTTTTATATTTACGGAGATTATATTTGGAACTGCCCCGCGATAATGTAAAAATAGACTAGACTCGAATTTGAATTCACTCATGTGTCCGAAGTCACGTCATTTAGTGTAGAAATTATATTGAGTCCATTTCTTGTACAAAAATACATAACAAAAATGATTGAATATACGTGTCTCAGATATTCTATTGCTATGTCATTTCGAAACTCACTTCACTTATGGCCATCTTATTACCAATTCCAGACGAAACGAATGACGCATTTTCAAGTGAATGCGATTTGGATTTCTAAAGAATCGTAGGGCAGGCAACGGTCATGAAAATATATTATGGCAATAGTTGTAATTTATAAATACCATGAACGATTCTATAGGTTGCACCCCAACATCAACGAGATGTCCTTTTCTTATCTGTTATAGTATTACGTGGGCGACCGCAACAAAAGTACAATGTGAGCCATCCTATACTCACATTGTTCAACGGCTGAGGCGGAAGGTTTTGATGCGGGGGCACGGGCGGGGGCGCGGGCGCCGACACCATCGTCATATTGGGGGGCATGGGGGCGCTGGAAGGTACAATCAATATGTCATTTTAATTACATTAAAACAGAAATCATTACCACAATCGACATCGGATAATATTGAGGTCGGAGCCTCATTAACATTTGTCGTAGAAACACTAGTATCAGCAATCAGCAATGAACTATAAAAGTGATACTTAGGTGCGGCACAGACCTGGTGGTGCGGTGGTGCGTGGGGTGTGGCGGGGCGGGGCTGGGCTGGTGCGGCAGCGTGTGGGGCACGCCGTGCGGGGGGGGCAGCGGCGCCCCCGCCCCCACCACCGCGCCCGCGCCCCCGGGGGGCAGCGCGCCCGCCGCCGGCGACTGCTGCAGCTGCTGCTGCTGCTGCTAAACACACGTTGTACGGTAATGTTCCGATCCGTCGAAGTGAATCGCGAAGGTCCCGCGGTAATATTTATTTTTATAACTTCCCGGTGAGTCGGTAGACGACATCCAGATATGACGATACCTAAATAGTATATATCTAATAGTACCTCAGTCTTTTCATTGGCCTATTAAAATTTTCCGAGGTATATTTTTAATTTAATCGCAAAATTATATGACGACAAATTTTGTTTGTTCGTCCCTCGGGCAGATTGTTGAAAATTATTCAACACATATTTTGTTTCTTTTTTCGTAATCGTAAATTACAACGATACATTGGATTAAAATGTCATATGACGTCACGTTTTTATACATTTCCAACAATATAGTGATGTAGCGAAACCCCCCCCCCCCCACTAAACTTTAAAGCCTGTTATCTGAGCTATATCTTGTTAATTCTTATTATGAAAATCAAAATTTATCTATAACGAAATTTGACAAACACTAAACTGCTTATATTTCTGCTTATTTCTTATATATATATATATATATTCTATATATATTATATATTCTATATATTTCTGCTTATATGCTTATTCTTATATTTCATTATGTTTATAATTATTCTAACACCGAATTTAGAAAAAATCTAATAATTATTTCAAACAATCAATTTATCTCTGAAAAACTAAATATAGATAACTAAATATTTCACTTGGTTACAAAATCAAATTAAGAAAAAAAAATTTTAATATTATAACCTAATATTAACTTTTAATACAAAGTAATACAAACCAAATGTAATTTATTAATAAATATTATAATTATTATTATATATTATTACTTAAAAGGGCAAACTTTCCTTAAATAAAATGACCCCTTAAAAGCCCTGATTTTGTCTCCAACAGCAGAAAAAAAAATGAATATCTAGAATGATAATCTAAACTAATATAAATAAAAGTGTATGTACAAGCAAATCGAAATCTAGAATGTCGTATGTTACATTGTCATGTTAATGGGATTTTGAACGTTGCGACCTCAGTAATACGTACCTGGTGTTGTGGGGCGTGATACTGACTGGTTTGCGGATGATACTGCGGCTGCCGTTCCTAAAGCGAACATGAAATGAGATGATATGAACGAGGTGTAACATGTAATTCATGCAGCGTCATACAAAATAATACAATTAAATAGTAAAACGAAACTTTCGGCTTCGGCTAAATTTTCGGCATGGACAAACTTTTAATTTCAGACAAATAGGGAAAAAGATTTATCGAAATCGCAAATCGAAACAACTGATTTCATATTTTATATGACATCACTTGTCATTGTTTTCGATAATGCAAGGTAATTTTAATTACTCCGTGAAATTGTTTATTTACTGTTTTTATACACTTTTGCCAATCTCTAATTCAATTTTGGAACAGTAGAAATTAATTAATGTAATGTATCTAGCAATAATACATTAATTAACTAATAGGTTTGTGTAGGATACTACTAATTGTTCAAAGAGTAAGCACATGTTTATTTTGCTAATTTGTTTTCTAAACGAAACTATTACAGAATGCTGTCTAATTGAGTTGGTTAGTTTCGTAAAATATATCAAATGAAGTATTGTCTAAGGTCATAAAATTACTTCTGCTCATATCTTCATATGGTTCTAGTAGTTATATATTTTAATATTGTTTGTATGTTTACGATTATCTCAAAACCGAATTAAACCTGATGTCTAATAATGTGTCAGTTAAAGTAAAAAGGTTTACAAATGGTTTTGTAATGAAATTGTCTAACAAAACAATCTGATGAAGACGCCTAAAGCTCTCACAAACAAAAGATTGTCAACGGATGCAGAATATTTACATATGAGATTGTTTACATTAAAAAAACGGTATAATATCGATTTATAAAAACAACAATGATACTGAAAATCAACTAGCTAGTCTAGTGGATAAAAACTGAATTAAATAATGCGACAAGGTTATGTTTTTCTGTAAATGTTGGTACTCCTCAAAGCTAGAGGGCGCGCTGAGGAACAGGATCAATTTTGTATGGTAGTTTTCTCCTAGGCCATTCTGAGAACCTATCAAAATATCTTTGACGCTGATGATCATCACAGCTAATTAGAAACTGGCGATTTTGGTTAAGGTAGAAATTATTTGTTTTACTGGACTTTGTTGACTAATGAAATTGCTAATGCGTTGCTAAAACTGATCTCCACAAGTAGAGTGGAGTAAGTAAGAGGGAAAAGAATACGGCGATGGCGGAAAAGAGTAAATAAAAGTAGGTACAGGATGCTCCAAATAACTTGGTGGCTATGAAGTCACAAGGGGCGTCGCACAACGCGGTTGTTAGTAATGAGTGACACTATTACAATAACTACACATAATGGCCGGTTTACATATAATCAAGTAGTAAGTAGATTTTTAACTTAATTTTAAGTGACTAAGTACGTGTAAACACACAAATAAGTAAAAAGTAGCAAGAAAAGATTTAGTTAACTGCTTATGATCTACAGTATAATGAATCACTTAAATTAACAATTTACTTACTATTAATGTCCTTAATCACATGTAAAGCAGTCATAACTGGAGGCGCACAGTGACAATGCGCAGTAGGAGTGGGCGATGTAAATCGTATATAGATATCGAAACCTGTATTGTTGCATCGATGAGATAGCTTATTAATGTTGTTTCCGTACTTTTGTGTATATTTTGGCACGTGTTAATAGACTTAATTTTGTGAAGAATATGAAGCATACAGTAATCCTTGAGTTATCCTCAAAAGAGTATCCTTGTGAATAAGCATGCTAGTTAATCGTCCGCCGGTTTATTTTCCCGTGCTAAATGTTAGCAATAGCTTGAGGTTAGCGAATACAAATTGATTCACACACGTATATAGTTCCAACATAGTTTAAAAATATATACATTTTAAGAATCCGATATTGTGAAAGTCTGATATCACCCACAGCTAGTGCACAGCCGCGCACGTGACGTGTGTGTACGCGTATACGTGTGACGTTACCTGGTGGTGGTGGTGGTGGGGCGCGTGGTACTGCGCGGGCGGGTTGTGGTGCGCGGGCTGCTGCAGGATGGCGGCGTCCTCGCGGGTCATCGTCCTGCAACAGCACAACAACAACGCTCAGTCGCTCCCCTGCCCTCTGCCCACTCGTGCCGCGACGCTGGGCGTGTCGATGCAGCAGTTAACCACAAGCTGTGCCTACACACTCGAGTGCCGTTGGTCTCGTCCCGCGTCGAGAATGTAAATGAAACACCGAACCGAACGCAAGCACTAATGGTGAATCAAAAGACCGAATGAAGCATGTTCCCTAACACCACTCCCCTCCCTCTCCCAAACTATTGTCCCGTACACGTATACATATATCGTAATTATACTTTAATGAGTTGTTGACATACTTGCAACTCATTGGTCTGTAGACGGGAAATACCATTACTGTTATCTATGCATTATCAAAGATTATCAACTAATGATGCAGTTTTTAATGAACAAACAAATCTAGGGCAGAGTTTGCAAACCTTTTCTGGTTCTCCGACATACAGTGTTGGCCATGTTATGTAATAAAAATTTTTGGCATTTTATTTCAAGTTCGACATTCTACAGCAAATATGGTGCTACAAAGTTTCTACGGAGTACTGGCTATTGTAGGGGAGGGGTGAAGTGGAGCGATTAAAGCATCCCATACTACAACATGCGGTGCCCCGAGGTACTTTACAGAGTTCGATCGTTTTTTTTGTTTTCTTTAGACACTTGCAATAAATGTGTTATTGTCCGATTGGAATCCTTCCATTCTAAGTGTTCGCGAACTTTGCTTGATTAAATTGATAAATAAGAGTCCTAGTTGATTTTAATATTGATTTATTGGCGTACAACATGAATACTCGTCCTATTTCTGGACGTCGAGTGATGTATATAGTACCTGTAACCCATATCCTCGTCGTAGTTGTGAGCGTTGTTATGACCGTTGTAGGGAGCTGGCGGGTTCGGCGGCTGCGGCGGGGGCGGCGCTGAATTGCCCGCCGGCTTGTTTGCTAATATCTGAGAACAAGCAATTACATAGCATATGTTATTTTCATATTTTATGAAATAGAAAAAAAATGAAAAATAAACTATATGTATCGCTATCCATAGAACACAGTATCGATTCCGATGGAGTACTGCCTAATGTTGTACGGGTGCATTTCTGGTAACCTATAGCATCGTGTACTGCAGAACGGAATAATTCCAACAAACGACGAAGAGCTGTATGGATAGCGATACGTGTCGTATAATTTCAACGCTCACATAATACTTTGCTGATTTGTTATTGTGAGTTTTTAAGCGTGCCCTAGGAATAGAGTACCATAGTATACATAGAAGTCTTTGATGTACATACGATCACTAGCCGCAAAGGTAACAAATATCCTTAATAGGTCCCCGAGAGAAGCGCTCAAGGGATTCACGTTTCGGGAAGAAAGACCAGACGGATATCGTCCCGCTCCCATATTGCATAGCTTCACTTGTCTGGTGTAAGCTTTGGTGAGTCATGTTCCTGCCCGTGAAAGGAGACAGAAACGATCTCACTAAATTCTCATTGTCGTTTGTACTCTGGTATCTCAATGGTTGGAGCAGTAGGAGAACCCGTAACATATTGCAATGCTAGTTCGTAGCCCATCTTGGGCATCTGACACTGTTGATTTTTTTAAAAGTATTTTTAAGTTACCTCTAAAGTGTGCATCATAGCTCTGGCGAAGCTGTCAGCATCCTCGCGACACGAGAAGTTCAGCCCGTAGACGTGTCTCGCGTCACGCCACTGGTGGAAGGTGGCCGTCGCCTGGTTGTACTTTAAACCACGGACTATGCCACAATTTATCACCACCTGTAATCATAAACAATTCTCGTTGTGAAAACAAGAAAATAAATTACTTTTCCCCTAAATGATTTTGGATCTGAGGGCGTTATTAAATTTTTATTTATAAGGCAAAATATTTTTCACATATATGGCAACTCAGTTATTTTTCAGTTGATAACAGTGACAGTTGTACTGACCTCGTGATCGTTCAGCTTCCTCCCCACCACCCGGAAGGTGTTGTGCTGCGTGTGGTGGTATATGTGAACCTTGGAGACGCCCGCGCTCGACCCTGACGGTATCCATCGCTTCACGTTGTCGTCGTACACCATCACGGAGGCGCGCGCGCTGCTTATGGATTGCTCGCTGTTCATAACAAACAAAAATATATTTTAATAAATTAGTTTGAAGCTTTTGTAGCCGCAGTAGAAGCTGCAGAAAGCACAAACGGCGAAAATATTCGGGTGCACATAGTGGATAGATGTTTGAGCCGATTGAGGTTGAAAAGATAGGTATGTGGGGACCTGGGCCTCCCATTTATATAAAGAATTAAAAATGTTTGATTGGTCTAGTGAACGAAAGGCCAGTTTATACCCTGCAGATATTAACATATTCGGTTAAAGAGGAAACACTCAGCCTTCTGGGCAGTCGGTAATGATTTGGGTGTTATTATTTTATTGAAAAGGTACAGCTTTACTTTAAATTTCACTTAGACATGTATATTCAAAGTACGTTTGTATAAACACATTCATTTAAATGCACAAAATCTGCTACCTTCGCTAAGCTAAACGTTCGTCTCAAGTGCACACTCAATGCGGGATACAAGATCGTAACCTTTCGCTAACCGAACGACTCCTCTACTAATTATGTAAATTACCTAAATATTTATGAAAATACGCTCACAAGCAGTAAATTTAGCACTTAAGTAATAGTGTCACTAAGATCTCAGCACGAGATATCGTGTGAGCACACCTTCAGTCGTCTGGTCAGCAAGTATTCTGTTTCGACCACCTGAGACAGATCATTTTTTAAATTATCCATTTTCCAAACTTAGGCAAATGTAATTTAATTTGAAAAAACGCTGATTTAACACCTCTTCACACAAAACATGGTTGCAAATGCAGACAAATTTACCGATTAGCAATACTTGTCTTGTAGATTGCGTACATCGAAACTATTAAAACATGAAAACTACATACGGATACGGTTTAAACATAACAATAAGCTATCGCATTAAAAGTCATATGAATAACAAAATAGGTGTATTAAAATTAATTAAACGAAATATAATACATTTGAGCGATCTCTTATGAGATAGGAGCAAGTGCTAGCGGTATTATTGCAATATGACAGCAGCGGCTCCGTTTATCCGAGCGTGTTTGGTGTGAGAATTTTTTTAATATCGGTCCAGTTGTTTCGGTGTCTATACGGTGCAAAAAAAAAAACAAATCGTTCCTCTTTATAATATTAGTATAGAAAAGATTTTATTTATTGTTTGTTTGTAGATAGGTTCCAAAACTGCTAGTGGAAAATAAAATAAAATCTATAACATGGTTCCTAAGAACAGATTTTCGTATTTCTTACAGTTTCAGTTTCTTATAATGACCGTTTTTATCTATATTTCAAAATCAGATTTATATAACGGCTAATAATAAACACTTTTATATTAATGACAGAAGTTTAAAACGATACAATTGGGGACTAATTTTTGTTTGTCAGGTATTTTTTAATAATTAAATTACAGCGATACATTGAGTTAAATGTTACATGACGTCACGTTTTTGTACGTTTTCTACAATACTGTGACGTAGCGAGCTCCTACGTCACAGTATTGTAGAAAACGTCCTCCTCAACTTTAATGTCTGTTACCTTAGTTATTTCTTGTTAAATTGAAGTAAAAAAATACGTACCTAATATAATTCTATTATCTGACAGACGGACTAAATAGAATTTAATTTTCTTTACCCAGTCGTTATCCCCATTAATATAAGTGCAAACATTTAATAAATCACTATAAAATAAGCATTGAAATTATGAAAAAGTCACCGTCAGAATAGAATAAAAACACTTTTAGGAGACCACTTTGCGATCGTTGGAATATTTTGAGATAGCGAAATAATAATTGATATGTCAGATATAGAAATAAGTTTAATCAGATAAAGTCGCCACAGAATCCTGAGATTATCGAAAATATTACTACTGCATGACCGTAGGCATGTGTATATAGAAGAAATATATAAACGCAATCCTACATATATTTTAACTGCAAAAGTTTTTGAGGATAAATGTGTTTGTTACTCTTTCACACAGAAACCACTATTCTGAGGAAATGAGATAGATATATAGATAATTGTACGCCTGGATTAATATATATGCTACATTTTTATGCCCCTGAACATTTCCCTAGGAACAAATGTATTAACTAAGCGGGCGAAGCCATTGGCGGAAAGCTAGTATGTATATCTGTATATAAGTACATATAAAAACAGAAGTTCTAAACATTAAAAGAATCTGAAAAAGAATAAGATTGAAATGTAATATAGATTATAATAAAAAACAATAATAGAGCGGATCGAATATGTGGTAACACAAATGTCAGTTATGCAACAGCCGCGACCGAAGGCGGACGTGGGCCGATTGCTTCAGAAGGTCAAGCAAATTAGTAACCGCACAGAGAAACGGTGTAAAGTATAGCTTAACTCATCTAACAAAATATATACCTATATATTAACATAAGTGGGTTATGCCCACGACTTCATTTAAACTAGGACACTAACTAATGAAGGTGTGTAATAATAGGTCTTAAAAAAGAGATGTGTTATAATTTTATTGGATCCGAATACAAAATTATTATTTCTATATTGTTAATGCCAACTAACATTGTGCTGTGACATTTTTATATAAACATGTGCTTGTATGGGCGATACTTATTTAAGTATACTAAAATGCTCGTATCTCGAATGTCAAACTAATATGTGTGTCTACTTCAGCAAAACATTGGAGTCATCTGTAGAAATTATACTGCCGCTACGGAGACTCTTGCCAAACTTCTTAAATACGAATCTAAGCTTCTTGTCCTCAAGATTTAATTTAAGTTTTAAATTTTATATTGTATGTATTGAAAATTCCGTACGGAATTTTCAAATTAACTACTTAATTCTTATACAAAAAGTAAACTTTTTTTTTAGTTCTAAGCCTTTACGAATAACACGTTCATTCGTAGTCAGTCACCCACTCTGTGTGATTGAAAATTCAATTGTATCAATTAATGAAATATATCAATTAACACAGCAATAAACACAGGGCAATGTAGCTTTAATTTGATAAAACATTGTTTTAAGACCTCATCACACAAAACAGGAATTTACCGATTGGCAATACTTGTCTCGAAGACAAGAAATGTAGCAGAGTATGGCGTTCATCGAAACTGTTAAAACATGAAAACTACATACGGATACGGTTTAAACATAACAATAAGCTATCGCATTAAAAGTCACATGGATAACAGAATAGGTTTATCAAAATTAATTAAACGAAATATAATATATATTTGAGCGATCTCTTATGGGCAGAGGTTGGAATTAGGTAGAGTTATTTATGTACTTGCATCGAAATATTGATATTAATGTGGACCTTCCCGGGATTTCTTTATTTCTTTCTTTCATTGATGTAAGTTTGGCAACGTCGTGCGTGCGGTAGTTTAAATTGTGTAAAAGTAAATAACTTTTTTATAAAAAAATCACGTGATTTTTTCTGCTCTTTAAAATTAATCTCGGGATTTGAGGCATATCCACTTTATTCTTTCGCTGTATGAAATCAGTGTAAGTACATGAATAACTCTACCTAATTCCGACCACGGCTTATGAGATAGGAGCAAGTGTTAGCGGTATTATTGCAATATGACAACAGCGGCTCCGTTTATCCGAGCGTGTTTACAAAGTAAGACGGTTAGATCGTTGACAAGACGCACTATCATAACAATGGTGTTATTATTGCACACACACGTATCTATTAAGCTGTGCGCGTGTGAAATCTAACCTCAAGAATGTTTAGATAACTCGAGAATGAGTATATTCGTGTTCAAAACTCAACAGGAGATGGATACTCAACATTATTAAAAGGCTGTCTCATTTCAAAATTCATGACTGTTTTTGACTAAATTTTACAGGAGAGCAAAAAGAAAACACTTTTTATGGTAGCCCTTTTAAACTATATATCGCCTGTTGATAAATTATCGTTTACAAGAAGAAGTGGTTTGAAGCGCCTAATTTTATATATAAATTATTTATGTAAAATACTACAAATTTTAAGAGCTAAAATTGTTTTACAAATAATGTCTAAGAAAAAATTCTCTTACTAGATTTTGATGTGGTTAAACATATCATAAAAATCAGCCTGTCCAGACCAAAAACAAGTACGAGCTTTGACTTTATGTAACTTTCAAGCAATTTGTCTAGACCAAAAAAGTAATAAATAGAATATAAGTACAACAAGGAAATATACAGGATGTAAAATAGGAATAATTTCAACAATTTTCAATGTGAAAAGAAAATCGCGTACATACATTTAAAAAAAAAAATAGTACTCAATTTCTAAACTAAACGTCCTGGTTAATACGACTATAAAAATTATGACTAAAACGAGTCTAAAGTGGAAACAAACAACGATAGAGACAATTTTGTGTACCTAACCGAGTTGGATGTTGTATTGAAAAAATATTAATAACACCTTCTAAAGAAATTAAAGGATATGAAAAGCAACGCATTTTTATTATTTACCCTTTTTTAAATAAGTAAAAAAATTTAAATATGTGTATTTATTTTTGCTTATGTTTTATATTATTTATAATTTATATTATATTTCATTTGACTATAGTTTACAAAATAAATATTTATTATATTCGATCACTGTTGCATACATAATGCTCAACTGAATAATATTTTAATGAAAAATGTTTTAAAAAATCCACTTGCCCCAGGCACTCGATCCCTAACCACTGAGCTACCCAGGACCCAACAGGACTGACGAATTTTCAATTAGTTGTCACTATTCGCCACTAGAGAGCGTATTTTCATCAATCCACCCATACGATAATTCGGCGCAACTCTGATATTATCACATAGTATATGACTGCCATCGAGATATGCATCTTCTTTCTCCTTTTAACCATAGTTATGAATTTATACATCTAATAAATATAACACAATTGAAACAAAGACAAAACAAAAGCTTACATAAAACCCCACGCAGTTTCGGAACAGCTTTATATGAAGCTCGCCTATACAATATTGAAGCTAATATGGCACAGCATGTCGAAACCCCATCGATGCGGGGCACATCTGTGCCGATACAAACAATGGCCGCGC